AAAATGTTAATGTCCAAAGTAATTAAATTATTTTCTTAACGACTGAGCCACCCAGGCGCCCCTACAACTTCAAATTCTTAATCAGAAACCATTTGGTTCCTCCTCACCATCTAAGAAGCCAGGGCCACACATTGCTAAGCTAAGTATTTGCACATATCTGATGATATAGGTCAAGCTATGTGTACAAATACCCATTCAAAACCTGATATGGCTCATCAAGGGTGATTTCATATGGATTAATCTCATTGCGTAGAAAGAATAAAATCATTAGATAAGTATTTAAACATCTTTATTTACTTGGCTTTTGTATACTATAGGTCTTTTATATTGTTCTAAATTATTTTTTGAAGTTTATATTCATTCACTCATAAGAAATTTTATTCACATCAGTAATAATTACAGTTACCAAGAGAGGCATAAACAAAGTAGAAGCTATTCAGATGAGGATAAATTATGATAGGACTTCAATTTCTTTTTCTTTTTTTTTTTTTAAAGATTTTATTTATTTATTTGACAGAGAGAGTCACAGCGAGAGAGGGAACACAAGCAGGGGGAGTGGCAGAGGGAGAAGCAGGCTCCCCGCCGAGCAGGGAGCCCAATGCAAGGCTTGATCCCAGGACCCTGGGATCATGACCTGAGCTGAAGGCAGTCACTTAACGACTGAGCCACCCAGGAGCCCCAGATAGGACTTCAATTTCTATAAGGTCCTCCAAAGCAACTAGGGAATTTGGGCCTAGAAAGTAAATAATTATTGGAAATGTGAAAATCACCTTTAATATTTAAAGATCTGGCCTATTAAAGAGGCTTAAGTTTGTTTCATTTGGCCAGAAAAGGAAGAATTAGGGCAAATGGCTAGAAGTGTCTCATAAATGTTGACACAATTTAAATTAAAAAAAAAAAAAAGGAAGTAGAAAATATCCAAGAAAGGAAGTCTGTTCCAAGAAGCAATAGTTTACCCATCCCTGCAAATACTTAAACAGGAATAAGGAGAGTTATTATTGGGATTTAGGCAACAGGTAGGTGTTTAGACTAAATCTCTCCAAAATACTTTATAATTCTACTGTGTGAAATTTTCTGATATTTTCCTTCAGAGATTTTGCTGCACAAAACACAATGTGATGGAAGGATTCTGAAGCACAGACATATTTAATAAGTAAATAAATGATAGTTAAAAAAAACTCATTTGTTTAAATTTTCTTCAAAAATTCCAGTATGATCTAGTAAATTTTTTGAATATGTAGATTCTTACTTTTTAAATAGTGATTGGATTTCTGAATCAAAAGTAAGGTTGGAGCTTGAAATTTTTCACTAACATGGATTTTAATTCGTATACATTAAGAATAAAAGATCTTCCTTTACCAGGTTTTTGACAAGTCACAGATCAAAAAAAGGTAAAAACATTATAGTAGTTTATATACAATGTTCTAAAATGTGTTTCAAATAAGAAACAGTTTTCAGTTATCAGAGGAATCATTTAAAAGCGATATGATTCAAATAAAAATTCAAGCTCTAATACATCAAAGTATCTACTGAGCTAAACATTATTACTTACTAAAAATATAAGACCATATATCAGAAAAAAATGTTAAAATGTAAACATCTGATTTCTTATTATTTTCTCTCCTTGGAAAAAAAATTTAAAAAAATGTTAATGTCCAAAGTAATTAAATTATTTTATAATTAATCATTAATATCTATATCTATATATATGTATTGAGTTATCCCAGGTTCAAAAGTTTTATCAGATCTCTCTCTTATATTATCTTTTTACATACTGCTGAGAAAGGGACAGGCAAGGCTAGGTAGGGAGAGATAGGTAGGGGGCCATAGGATCAGGCTCACAAAATTCAAAATGTGGGAGATGAAAGGAAACCAGAGAAAGGGAACAAACTAGACCATCCTGTCCTAGGTGTCAGAGATGAGGTCTTGTTTTAACAGCCACTTGAGAGCAACCTAGAATTACCAGACCCTAAAAAAGAAGTAAGCCATTGAAGGTATTATCACTAGTCCTTACTCAATGGTGCTATCAATAGAGATGTTAAAAAGATTTAAGTTCCTTGGTTAGCTTTCTATAAAAGACCACCCCTAAAAGCCCTCAGTGGCAACCCTATTGGGACCCCTCTCACTTCTGAGATCTTTTTCTGTATCTTGCTTAATAAATGTCTATCGCTTTACTCTCTCCTTTGTCCGCAAGATTCATTCTTCGACTCCATGGGACAAGAACCTAGCTCTCCCGCATCACTGCTATGGCCTCCAACCAATAATAGCCCAGGAAGCAAGAGCTTCACAAGGTAAGACCCAAACCATGACTTTTACCCTTTCAATATCTCACAGAGAAAGTTACTTATTAGGCTTATTTGAGCTTTCCCTACCTTCAGGCAAATGTCAGTTAATGAATTTGATTCTCAATGGATTTTAGTGGGTGACAAAATTTGTGAACCTCTTTTAATATTTTGGAACCCAAATGAGTTTAATACCTTATAATTCCCAAGATAGTAACCTGTTTGTTGTTAGAAGAGGCTAGTCTGGGAGCACCTGGGTGGCTCAGTCTGTCAAGTGTCTATCTTTGGCTCAGGTCCTGGGATACAGTCCCGAGTCAGGCTTTCTGCTCAGCAAGGAGTCTGTTTCTCCCTCTCCCTCTGCCGCTGCCCCCACCCCGCTAGTGCTCCCGCGTGCTCTTGCTCTCAAATAAATAAATAAATAAATAAATAAAAATCTTTTTTAAAAATTTTAAAAAGAACATGCTAGTCTTTTTTTTTTTTAACATTGCTCCTTTGAATTCATCATTAAGAAACCTATTAATATTTTTTTATACTTCACTCATATTCCACATTCTTTGGTCTAAATGATTTCATTTGAGACAGAGCTTCTTCTTCCTAATGGAAATAATCATGAACTATGTCACTAATCAAATGCACTTGTCTTGCAGTTAATGACTTATTTTGCAATTATGATGACAAATGTAGTATTTCACAATAACCTTTACCCTTTTTTTCCAGGCTTTAAAACCTTTCATCACCCTGACATGGTTCTGAAATGTGGAAACTTACTCGTATTCATAAAGATATGAATTCAAAGGGCAGGCAGAATATAGGCCTTGATAAACACTAGTTAGCTGGGGGATAAAAAGGGTACTTTCATCTTATGGAATATTGTACCTTATCAGTTGCCATTAATATTAATGAAATTAGAAGAAATCTAGACCAAGTTAGAATTATAAGTAATTATGTACATTTCTATCAAGTACGGTAGCTAATAAAACAATATTAGCATTACAGAAAAGTAAATATTGTTTTAAAAATATGAATTTAGAACAAATGCTTTGTAAGCCCATTCCTTTGAGAAAAATCTATATTATGAAATTTAATTCCTGTTAGATGAATGCTAACTATGCAAAAGGAAAGATCACCCACTTAGACAAGGACTATGGAAACACAAAATACATTTACTACCGAGATTGTTGTTTGGTTAAAATAATGCCTTGATAATAGTTCTCTATTACCTTCCTTACTTTATAAATGTTAAAGTCATATTCCACAAAGTTATGTTTCTATTCTTATCATGAAAAATACAGTTTCACAACATAATAAAAGAAATAACAAAATTTATAAAGTATTATAACTTCCTATAATTCAATTTTCATATCATTAGCCATTTATTTTCAGTTACAAGAAGAAACATCAACTAGCTTAAAAATGAGCATGGAGTTCACATAAATGAAAGGTTGTTGAAAATTTCCAATAAAGTTTTAAGATTAGTCTGACATTGTGAACTCACTTGGAACTACAGGACTTTCAAGGTAGTCAGTAAACTGAGACAACAGTAATAATGTAGTGGAAGTGACAGATAATAGAAATAAAAATGTAAGAATGGATTCCAAAACTTGGTAAAATCTACTGATGTATAATTTTATTTAGTGGGTTCTTAAAAATAGGAATAATTAAATAAGAAAACAGAATTATTGGGGAAAAAACAATTTCGCAACAGTCATAGACCTAATTGCATTTCATGGTTTTTTTTTTTTGCATTTCATGTTATAAGCATTTTTTTTGTAATAGGTAATCATATCACCTTACCTTCCCTGATAAAATTTACGTGCATTTTGAAAAGAAACATTTGCATGAAAATATTCCTAATGACTTATTAATTACATTTGGAATTAAGAAATCTCTCAAGAATACCTGGAAATTTGAATTCCAGAAAATGTAATGTTAAATATTTGTCAATTACCTTTCTTGGATGCTTCAAAACTGTCATAGAGGTTTATCTTCTGGGTGTCATAAGTCAGGGTGGTATTGGGCAACAACGTTCTATTTCTGTTGATTGTATTCACGGCAAATCTGAATGCAAGTTCTTCAGCTCCCATTGGGCCAGATTCCACATATTCAAAAATGCCCCCTGGCAAAAAGAAAGAATAATCATACAGTTCTTAGAAGATAGAGAAAATGTATAGTTTTCTTTACTTTTATGTACATGTGCATTTATGTGTGTGTGCGCACACATATGTATGTGTGATTTGCTTAAGTACATGGAGTTTGTGCTTACTTTTTCTATGAACTTGAATATTCGAGATGTGCCCTTCTAGATAAATCCATATCGTAAAAATTTCTTTGCTATTGTTACCATAATTTAACATGATTTAAATATGATTTTGCTTTTTTTCTTTTAGTAATTCCTTCTTTTAGAGCCTAGGTATATATAGATCTTGCCTTAAGTACCGAGCATTATCCCTCAAACTTTTGCACAGTTCCAGAATAATCAGTCCTCTATACTGATATAAAGCTATGAAGTTAAGCATCAGGGAAATTATATTAAATTTGTCTCTGTTAATTGAGAAATCAGAAATCTCTAGCATAATTTCTACGGCACTTATTGTGTTAAAAGCCCAAAATACAAATTCACTTGCAAATTCTAACAAATGAGCTTGTAAGAAAAGACAGCAAAGTAGCCATTTCTCTATTTGTTCTACTCTCAGTTTTTTTTTTTTAGAAGATACTTGGACATTTGTGAAAGATAACTTTCCCAAACAGTGCAAATCCCTTAATCAGTGAATAACAAGGAAGTATATAATTTAGGCCATAAAATGTAGAGTACAATTCAAAAACACGTCCTTTCCATCTGTCACTTTTACCAATTATGTCTTAGTTCAGTTTCCTCATTCTTGTCCCAGCCTTGCTTCTTCTTAATATTCTCTCTATTCAGTTCTGAGTGACCTATGGGACCTTTGCCTCCAACAGAATCTTTTCTTTATTGTTACTCTGGTAAATGGAATGAAAGTGGAAGCATCTGATATTTGACACTGTCCAACCTCTGTCCTTGGAAAACTAGTACTACTTTAACAATAGAGAGCATTTATCTTTTTCCCTTTCAGATTTCATTCCATGTACTCTCAGCACAGTCATTCACAAATTAAACTCCCTTGAATAAGCCATTTCCACAGTTTGCAATTCATACCTCATCTAAAGTCTTCTGACACATAAATGTCAGGTGACTATACAATCAGCAAACTACCTATTCTAAATTAGTAAGAAGCCATGGTATGGGGCGCCTGGGTGGCTCAGTTGGTTAAGCGACTGCCTTCGGCTCAGGTCATGATCCTGGAGTCCTGGGATCGAGTCCCGCGTCGGGCTCCCTGCTCGGCAGGGAGTCTGCTTCTCCCTCTGACCCTCCTCCCTCTCATGCTCTCTCTATCTCATTCTCTCTCTCAAATAAATAAATAAAATCTTTAAAAAAAAAAAAAAAGAAGCCATGGTATGGTAACAATTTTAAATTAGTAAGAAGCCATGGTATGGTAGTAATTCCTCTAAATATGAGGAATTAGGACTCAAGAAAATACCACAGTACTCAGACAAATTTATATTCAGGAAGAATTAGAAAATTTGTTATTTGACACCATATTAGTTTGAAATATTTCTCTTATTCTTTCATCTAAATTGATGGTATAATTACCAGAGCAAGCAACTTATTGTGAAATAGTACTTTGAATACATTTAAAATCTTTGGAGACTTAGGCTAAGCAGAACAATAAATATTTACATGTCTAATTGGTATCAAGAACCAAATTAGATGTCTTGTATATATGGAGGAGAATAGTGGTATGAGCCTAGCCTCTGAAGCCAAACTGGGTTTACATTCTGTATCTGCCATTTGCCATCCACGTAAATTTGGTCAGTTGCTTAAATCCTCAGCCTAAATTTCTTCATCTCTAAAAAAAGGATGATAATGAAGATGACTACATAGAGTTGTTATAAAAATTAAATGTTATCTCATAATAAAGCACTTAGATCGGTGGCTACCATAGAGTAAGAACCCCATAAGTGTTCTAAGGTTTCAGTGAATCTTCAAAGTAATCACAAGTAGTAGTGTTTTATAGGAAAGAGTTCTTTTGGCCAAAGATCATATAACTGTCAAATGATAGAGCCAACATTACAATCTGTTCATGCAAAAACTTCAAAGCCCTTGCTTATTCTACTACAAACTAGTATTTTTCTTCAAAGTTTCATTCAGGTAAAATACACAAAACCTCCTAAAGGCGAGACATAATGACTTTAATAATAATATGTAATTAGAAATGTAAGATCCTACATATGGAACAGAAAAATAATTGAGCAATTATAAAGTACTTCTTAAAGTTAATTAGAAATAGTCAATTATAGAAATACAAACCTGAAGTTGTTTCTTAATGGCAAAATAAAATGAAAAACTAATCTTCTACTTTCCTCAGTTCAAATTAGAGTTTCTATGTGATATAAATACAAAAGAAGGATACAAAAATGATCAATATTTGATGATAGTGGGTTAAAATATTCCTATTCTTTTTTTTTTTAAAGATTTTATTTATTTATTCATGAGAGAGAGAGAGAGAGAGGCAGAGGGAGAAGCAGACTTCCCGCAGAGCAGGAAGCCCGATGCGGGACTCGATCCCAGGACTCCGGGATCATGACCTGAGCGGAAGGCAGACGCTTAACCATCTGAGCCACCCAGGCGCCCCTAAAATATTCCTATTCTTTATCTCTCTTGAAAATAAATAATTCAAATTCAAGTTTACATATTTATTACTGGTTTGAATATTTAAGGAAATCTTTGTAATTCCTCAAGATAACACATATTTATCTTAGTAAAATAAATAATTAATTTTTATTGATCCAAAGCCAGAATTTAAAATTTTGTATATAAAAATCAAAAATGTCCAGATAATGCAAGTTTTCAAGGCACAATATCTTCTATAACACCTTTCAGCCATGTTAACTCAAAAAAAAAAAAAAAAGAAAGAAAGAAAGAAAAAAAGAAAAAGAAAAAGAGAGATCACTACTCCTGATTTGTGGGGGGCAAGTATGGACAGGGAGGTAAAAGAATTTAGTAAAGAATTACTTTCCAAAAAATATTGGGTGGGTGCCTTAAGCTTACATGGGAAACAAACAGAGCTTTTGTAATTCTGTTTAAAATTTTGGAAAGTTAGTAACATCTAACATAGTAATTGATCAAAGAAGAAAAAAGTACAATCACCATATTAGATGGTATAAAGACACCTGACAGATATCACTAATTATTCTTGATTAAGAAAATATTTTTAGAAAAAATAATGGAGTCATAATGAAACTTTACTAAGATAAAAATCACATATTAGGGGCGCCTGGGTGGCTCAGTCGTTAAGCATCTGCCTTCGGCTCAGGTCATGATCCCAGGGTCCTGGGATCGAGTCCCACATCGGGCTCCTTGCTCAGTGGGGAGCCTGTTTCTCCCTCTGCCGCTCCCTGCCACTCTGCCTACTTGTGATTCCTCTCTCTCTGTGTCAAATAAATAAATAAAATCTTAAAAAAAAATTACATATTAATAGTAAATGTTATATTTAAGAGTAAAATAGAAAGGAAGTCCCAGTAATGTCAGGAAAAAGATAAGAATGTCTACAATATCCACTTTTACTACTATTCTGGAGATTTTAATAAATGTAATTAGAAATAAAAATTACTTATTAAAACATAGAGTTTCATTTTTACTTCATTATATATATAGGAGAGACACAAATATCTTTTGCCAATGGTGTTTAATCATAACAATGAAGATAACAAAATTGAGAGAATTTATCATGAATAAACCTCCACTAAAACAAATATTAAACAAATGAGTTCTTTAGGCAGAGGAAAAATTATTCCAGAGGGAACCACTACACTGCTTAAATGTATGAAGTATAAAGAAAGGGTAAATATGTGGGTGAATATCAATAAATTTTAACTGAACGAGCAAGAACAGTAACATCTTATGAAGTCTGTAATGTGTTTAAATCAAAGTATATTCTAATAACAACACAAAAGTTGAAGAAAGCATAAATAAAATTAAAGAATGTTAATGTTCTAGCAATATTGGTAGGAAGGTAAAGATAATTATTCTAGACTGTAATAAATAATGCAACAATGCATATTTAAATTCCTAAGATAAAGACTAAAATAATGAAATAGCATATGATCAAAAATTTAACAGAGGAAGGGTGGCATAATAAAAATAGTTTATTTGTTCAAAAAGAATGAGAAACATAAGTAAAATAGAGAAAACACTAAAAGAACTAGTGGTATAAGTGATCTAAAACAAAGGTATCAGTAATTATATTAAAGGTAAATGAAATAGGTTCACATTTTAAAGTTTAAGATTACCCAACAGGATAAAAAGGCACAAAACTGTAAGCTACCTGCAAGAGAAATAGTGAAAAATAAGGAAAAAGGCAGAGACTTGTTCTAAAACCACACTAGCCAAATAAAAGCTGGTGAAGCTATTCCAATGTTAGATAAAGTAGACTTGAAGGGAATAAAGGGTGTATATCATAATGATAAAGAAGTCAATACACAAGAATGATAAAATTCAGACTCAACATACACTAATAATAATAATAAAAAACAAACCCTCCAACATATTGACAGAATTGGAGGAGATACAGATCATAGTGGGAAACATTAAAACACCACTCTCAGTAGCTCATAGAAGAAGCAGACAAAAAAAAATCAGTTAAAATTTAGACGAAATAAATATATTTGACCTAATTAACAAGGATGAAACACAGTACCTCAAAATGACAAAATATTTTTTTCTTTTCAAGTGTATCTTTACCAAAATTGATCATAAGCTAGGCCATATCCTAAATCTCAACACATTTAAAAAGATTAAATTAATTCAGAGCATATTCCCTCACCACAGTGATATTAAACTAGAAATAAATAAAAAGATAACTTGGAAATCCCAAATTTAGAAATTAAAGAATATATGCCTAAGTATTCCATGGGTCAAGAATGAAATCAAAATGGAAATTACAAAATTGGGGAACAAAATAAAACTGAAAATTTGGCACTTAAAACTTGTAGAATACAACTAAGTCCATGCTTAAAAGAAAATTTAAGACTAAAAATCAA